GTCACATCTAAATCATTTGAAGACAGGAAGGGATTATTTTCATGGAAAAAGTTCTGAGACTGTGCTTATTAAAATGTAGAACCACACTTTACTTAACTTTTGTTGCCATCCTATCAAAGTCGCCTCCTTGTGCAGTGGCACAGTGCTCCTAATGCTTCTGATATGTTTGGAAAACTCCCTGAAAGTCCTAGTATGTAAACATGTCACATACTGTCTGCACTCAGTGTCCTGAACTGTGTCAAAACAGTGACCCTTTAACTTGAATGTTATTTTCAGGATGAGAAAGAGGTCACAGTGAGCCAAATCCAGCAAGTGGGGTGAGTGGGGAGCCACGATTGTGTTGCTGTGGCCAAACAAACTTGTGCATAATCACTGCACTGTGACCACCAGACCACCCACAGACCATCACACCACAGTTCAGGTCAGTTGCGTTGAATGTTCTCCCTCATACACATTGCAGCAGAGCTCTGTCCCCGGGGACTCATTCTCGATGCAAAATCACATAAATGTTTTGTAGCAACACTAAATAGAGCAAAGCTGCTGGTTTAAACTTGCATTAAAAGCTCCGCAGTGCTCACCAGCCACTTGCAAACTTTAAGTGTCTGACATTAGGTGCTGGGTAGACTGCAGTGAGTTCTGAGAGCTTGGAAACAGCTGCCTGTTTCTGTTGGAAGCCGAGTTGATAAGAGCCAAGAGACTCAACCAAAACAAAGTTGTGGGCTGTAAAGCTGAAACTGTGAGCTCAATGATGCTGGAGTGCTCCATAGGGCTCAGGGCAACTGCAAAATCTAACTATTAGCCCCCTTTTACTTACTCATAAACATTTGACCTAGTGTTAACAGAAATATTGATTGTGGCACCTTTAATTACATTTTACACTACAGTAGCTCTAATGCAGCCGTGCCACCACATCCTGTATTGCTATATTTAGTTTTCATCTGGAGAATAAAAGCTCACAACAGTTTGGTGCTACACTATACAGTTTTCGGCTCCTCACCTTACAGGCAGTGGCAGGAAAAATGTAGTCTGCTGTGGCTAAACCACTTCAATTTAAGTCAAAGTTGCTTTTACTTCACCAGCTCACCCAAGTCGGGCATGTGAAATCTATCAGTGCAGGTGATTTCAGTTTTGTCTGCCAACATTAACATATATTCTTTTCAAGGCTTCATACAGTAACATCAATATGATAGAGAAACACTTGTTTTAAAAATCAACCAATTCAAACAATTGGATCAGAAAAAGGATCAGAAAACAATTCAACCCTGGAGCCACTGTTTACACAGTGTACACCTGTCTGAAAACCATGGACAGTAAGGACACCCTAACAACTGATACTTGGAGACCAAATTCTCAAAATGGGATGGTGTATGTTTTTTCTTTGTCACTAACCACTGGGCTCTAAAAATTGTAGTCTTAACTGTCTTTGTTTGTCCAACCCCATCTTCAATTTAAGCTTACATGGATTTCATTCACATGGCGACTGTACAATTGTGGTAAAATGCATTCAAAATATCCTATATTTACTTTGCTAGATCGTCCTCGTCCTTGCAGTTTATTACACTATATATACTTTATTCCCATGTGTTTTCTTTCCTTTTCCCTTCCTGCTGTTTCTTATCCTCTCTCCCACTGTTGGTCTTGCTGTGTGTGGGTATATGTGTTAACTGGGCGACCTACTTTCCTTCTATCTGCAACCATCAAACACACCTGAGGTTTATCATCCGTTCAGCCGCCTACAGAATATAAACACTGGTGCTACTCTCCATTCTCCGCAAGATCATTCTGTCTGCTTATGTGGGAGCATCACCATGACCCACTCTTGTTTGCTTTGTTTATTCCTGCTATGATTTGTGTTCCTCAAACCACAGGTGATCATGAATGGGTTCTACAACTAAAAATCTACGTCCAGGCATTCAGGCCCTAATTTTTCGTGGAACAGAGAAATAAAAAGAATATTTCACCTTCTTCATCATGCAGGTGTCTCCACTCCATTTGGTGCCATTTTTTGGTTGTAATTCTCTGACCCTCCTTTAATCCTGCTATCTCCTGTGCCTCAGGTTCTAACTCCAAATCACCATCCAGCCCGACCTCTGCATAATCCACACCCTGCATCCAGACCTCCAAGCTCAGCTCTGTCACTCATGTATTGTCAGTTAAGCCACATACCATGTTCCCCATCACTGCCGGCAGCCGATTCCAGCCACTAAATTAACCAGCCTATCTGGTAGTTCATCTGGATGGGCCTAATGCCAGTCCTCCCTCCTAGAAGAGTTCGACCAAGCCTCTCTCTTCAGAGACTGGCATATTAACTAATGTTTTAAACATTGCTCTCCGTGTTCTCTGTCATGCACTTGGGTCTTGGTAAAATGCCCATGTAAAGGTTAAATTAAATGTAGGGGTAACTAGTTCTGATGACTTTAAAATCCAAACTGTCTACATGGCCATAAATCATTAAGTATAATTTAAGTCTGTTTTTTGTGGTGTGGATGGTGTGACCCTTCTTGTATTCATGGCAGTACATTTCTATATAAGGACACTCCCTGAAGGTGTTGAGACAAACTTTTGGCACTGACTCGTGTGCTCAGCCCAGCAGCAAGCTCAGCCACTGCTCATTATAGGGAAACTCAACATAAAGTTAGGAAGCAGAAATGCTAATGCAAGACCTGCCATGCAACATAGAATGAAGTGTAAAGCACTGAGCCTTATCAATGCTAAAGAGCACGAGGCCATTTATAGCTCAGTAGTGAGAGCTAAAGTTCAAGCCTGCTGCAGCCGGTGATCTATGAAAGACACATGGATGGTCTGAACCTTCTATTTCTTGAGATTGGAGGTAATGATTCATCATCTTTTAACCACAGATCCCAATCTCAGCAATCCATCATGCCATCGATAGTTAATCTCTTCTTACTGGAGGCAGAGAAAGTAATGTGAGAATCCAATACGCTTCCACTTCCTTTTTTCTCAGTGGGAGCTTGCGAGAGAGAGGCTGGCAAAAAATGTCTTCAGCTCCAGCCAGAAAATAAACGATGAAATTGTAGGTTTCCTCCCAATCTACAGTAAGTTCTTGGGAGAGAAATCAGACCTTCCCAGATGAGTCCATCCATCTGCCAGGCCGGATGAGGAGGGACAATCTGATGCTGCCTTCCCCGCTCACGCTGCTGGTGGTAGTGAGAATTTCTCTGGCCCTCATACACATGACTAATAGACACATGAAAGGAGCATCTTGCAGTGTAAATGCCTGCAAAGGGGTTAGACCACTATCCACTGGCAGATACTGGCTTATATTAAAAGTCTGATTATGTGCACTTGGGGTACCCATTCTGGCATTATGTAGTTTGTCAAAGTGCATATTTAGATTATTACTCCCTGTAATAGCGTCATTAGATGTAATGGTAATGTTGTTTTCCTTTTTCTTGTGTTCCAGTAGTAATGCACAGTTTCAAGGCCTTTTTTCACTCTGATTCTGGAAGATTGTGTGCCTACGTTATTTTTTCTTTTAACACAAACACCGTTCAGTTCCACCCACCCTCCGATACTCCTACATCTTTGGATAGTATCAATCTGTGATTCAATAATTCAGACCAGACCTTCTGTCATGTCTGGGATTGACTTGTTTATATTGTTTTTTATGTTTGTTTCAGTTACAACCTTTCTCACTCAACCCGTCTTGTTTATTGATGCTTGTATTATTATTATTTTTATTTTTTTTACATTTCTCACTTGATCTTTCTGAGTCTGAAGAGAAGAGTGTGGGCCATGGATGTATGATGTATCCATTCAAAGCATTTATTCAACTATGACTCGCTGTATATACAGTATAAAATATATGTACATACTGTTAGTGGCTTTCACAGGGTCAACCAGTATGTTGCACAGAATCAAAAGACAGTCTTCCTATTAAAATGTACAGCTTCAGTGAGAGCATCAAATCCTAGCCACTAAACAGGGAGACATGGCAAAAGGAGAGGACAACAAAGATGTCAATCAAGCAGTTGTTTTGCATACCTAGACCATTCTCTAGCACTGACACATGACTGTGTAGAATGGCTTGGCTGCACCTCATTCAACGATAGAGGAGACAAAAAAAGCTCTCACAGTCATCTCGCGCAGAGCTAAGAACAGCATGCTGCGACTGTTTTCACTCAAAATAGTGTCGATGGTAATGTTACAGTGGAACATTTGCATGCAGGGAGACGAACACTGTCATTGAAATGGATAATTCCCTGGAAATAAAACTGTCAGGACTGCTTTATTTCACGATCCACACCTTTGGCAACACTTGGTATTTTCAGCGTGTAGGTTGCTGCCCTGAGGCAGTGGTTGTGGTTCTTTCCTGTTGTGCAATGGATTTTGAGAACAGTAATGCTTACATAGCGGAAGAGAAGGAGAAAGCTGCATGAAGTGCATGGCCAATGGCAGGCTGATACCCGCAGCCCATATCCGGTGAGTCAGACTATTGAATAGTTCCACTGGTGCCCTAAATCTGAAATAACGAGCAGCTATGTGTAAACAGGCAGCTCTTGGAAGGTCATCTCACTGTCGCTGACTGTGAATCAAACCCAGACTGCAGCAGTCCTGAACATGACTGCTTCTCCTGATGGAGGCTGGTTGTTCAGTGGCACCAGGCAGTGCTGTAACTTCCTTTTTGGAGGCGGTGCTGGCAACATGTCAAGAAATGTACATACATGGTGTCAGCAAAAGTTGCAAAAGAAGATTGAGTAAATATTTGTGTAAATCATGAATGTTTAAGAGATGTAATGCTAATGTAGACCTAGTAACTCTTTGTGACTTGTTGGGATAACACTGTGTCCTAATTCGTCTCAAGGAGTGAGGGGAGGTTAGCATATATTGAACACAAGAAAATTTATTCCAGCAACATCAAAACAACGTGGAAAAAGTTGTTGCTTCAAAACCTTCAATAATAGAAAAAAAAGTAACCAACAATAACAGAAATTGTCCTCTCACAGCGTATAGCTGTTCTTGTATTACAGTTCAGTGAATCAAGTCAAAGGAGTCAGTTTAATCCACATCCAGGTCAGTCAAAGTCGATTTGTGTACATGTGTGTGCTACCCGGGTAGTGTGTGTGTAAAGAACTGTTACTGCGCGCGGTTCAGGCTCCTCTCCAGGTATGTGCACTTCTCCAGCAGGTGATGAGAGTGGAGGATTAACATCCCCTTCAACTCCGCCACGCCTCTGACGGGAAACCTGGTTGAAACCGCTGATGATTCGACGCAGATCCAGCACTCAGCAGACCAAAAAAAAAACCAATCTGCATAGCAGAGCACCAATCATGAATTTCTGTACAGAATTATATCTCTTTTCTTAAGTGTAACTAACAATACTGCTCACAAAATAATATGCAACTGTAGCATGAGATATTAAGACCTCAAGTCACCATTAGTGTGCCATTTTTTTAACAGTACTATAGGAATCATGTTACACAAATTAATTCTATTCTCCTCTCAATCATGTTTCTCTTTTACATTCACAAAATACATCTTTCCTTATTTCAAAATGAATTTAAACACACTTAACATATATAAGAACATTTACAATCAACTCCGATTGGTTTTATGGCATAACTATTTAACATCCCACGTTCATAAACTGAAAATGCCCATCTATCTATTTGCCGCTAGCAACGTAGCATCGCGCGTCTCGATTAGCCGTTAGCGACTTAGCATCGTACGTCTATCCCTACAAGACAGCACAACAACTCACCGGAGTCTTCGTTAATGAAAAAAAGAACAAAACATCCACTCTGTCTACAGTCCTGATGGGCACCTCCCTGGGAAACTCAGAAACACACAGTTCTGTAACTATAAAAAAAATACAGTGCAGTCCTCCCACAAAGCATCGGCCATTCATTTCTTGCTGTCTTCTTCCCAGAATGCCATGCACACAGGTCCAAAGTCCTTCCAGTCACATAAAGCGCCCTCCTCTTGTCACACAAAGAAATTACAATCATGCCGCCTTCATTAATTTACACAAAAAAAACGAACTGTTCAATATGAATTCAAATGAAATACATTAAATTAATCCACTGCATTTTTAAGGGGGTTACACTAATTTGAAGTGTTTTAAGTTTAAGATGTTTCTTTTGTTCGAGTGAAAGCTGCTCACCCAGACCAGACTGTGTCTGGTCCACTTCAAATGGGAAAGTTGACAGTACCAGATAGCCAACACATTTCCCTTCAGCAGAGAAACTGTAAAGATGCTACATTGTTCAGTACTGAACAGCAATAACTCATGTCAACAGTGTCATACGAGGAGTGATCAAAAAGTTCAGATTTTGCTACTGTTGTGCACAACTGGAACGTTCAGGCACATACAACAGCTACTGACAGTAACTTTAATGAGCCAGAATTACACATTATATTGCATGAACAACACTGGAACCTGCATTACATGTGTTTCTGTTCATTCTGGTGCTGCTGAGTTTCCTTCGGTTCTGGTTAAAACCTCTCTGGAGGGTTGCCAAAAAGTTCTCTGTGCAGGAAAAACCCTGCAATCATTCAGCCAACAGCAACAACTGTCTGACTTGTCAATCAGAGGGTGGCTGGATGGGTCAACAAACTGTTTACCCTTTACATAACCTTAATCAAGCTGTTCTTGTGCCTTAAAGTTTTTGATCCCTGCAGACCACCTTTCCTAATGAATGGGTCCCTTTTTTCTTTTTCTTCTACACATACATTAGGATTTAAATGCACACAATGGCATTTAAAATACTTCTTCAGTAAGATGGAAAAAACATTCAACACATTTGTTAGATAAAAACCAAACACACTGTGTACTTTGGTGAGTGATGCTAAATTTGAACAGAAACCTTGTTTTTAAGAAAACTCCAAAGAGCACCTTTAACCACAGCGCTGTCAGCTCGGGAAATTCAATTTTTTTGAAATGCAGATATGGTCGTGTTAATAGTGACTTTAGATCAATGGAAAGCATGAATAAACAGTGTATTTTGTTGTTTAGTATAAAGGATAAGATAAGAATGACAGTACACAGAAGATGAGGCTGTATCCTCTTCCTTTGTTTTTACATTCAAGAGCTTGCAGTGAATGTACATTAAACGATCTTGTGTGTCATTTGGTGGAGTGGATGGTTGGTGGAGTGCTCCCTGATGGCAGCAGGACAATGTACCCCACCACTCTGCAAAAACTGCCCAGGACCAGCTCAACGAACACAGCAAGGAGACCAAACCATTAAACCTGGCCTTTAAATTCCCCAGGTCCCAATCCAGTCGAGCATCCATGGGATGGGCTGGAGCAAGTTAAATCCACAGAGACCCGACATTGCAACCAACAGGACCCAAAGAATCCACGGCCAGTGTCACAATGCCAGGCAACACTAGACTCCCTCAGAGCTCCTGTGTCCATGAACCAAAGGATCAGAGCTATTTGGCAGCATGATAGAGACCTACACAGTGGCTTTAATGTTGGCTATACACCAATTAGCCACAATGTTGTAGACATACTGAGTATGACCTCTTTACCTTGGATAATGAAATCGTGCAAAACAAAATCGTATTTTTGTCCCAGATTATAATGAAGTCAGGGTGGGAATTCATGGTTTAGTTGCCAATATACATTAAATTTGAGAAATATGAATTGTACTTGTGGTCTTTTTAATAACTGGTATCTCTTTGCTTTCCTTTGTATAATTTTTAAAGGTTGCTACAAAAAGAAATCAATGTCTTTTCTTTGTCAGTTAGTGACACCAAAACCAGGCATTTAATTTAACATTTTAGGCAGCTGAAAAAAAATCCCCACTGCAGAAATTGAGGTTTCATTGCTTTCCAGGAGTTTTATGGTGTTACTTTGTGCAAAGGAGAAGGATATAGAATAATCCTCTCAGCAGTTCCAAAGAGAGTCCACAGCTCATCTGTGGATCTGTAGGCCACAGCATTTTGTCTTTGATTGGAAGAAGCTAGCTGACGAATGATTATGCGTTTTTGCAATTCCTCCAGCTGGGAACATTTAAAGATATTCTGAATAGAATTCCTGCGGCTGTAATGAAAAGGAGAGAAATGAAGTGGCAGCTCATTATACGCAGGAGATAGCTGCCTTGCATTGTATAAATATTCTTCAGCACCCTCTCCCAGAGGTGTTATTCAAAGAGAGGCGACCCTGAGAAAAGCACAGACGTATTACTTATCTGCAGAGTGATAAACACAATTCAGCGAAAGGATTTAAAGCTGCCGCTGCTTCAGATATTGCTTCATTACCTTCAAAAGCTTTCTGTAACTTCTGTCACTTCTTTGAACTGGTTGAATCTCTCCAGGTATAATGAAAGTTCAGCAGTTCCGCTGATACAGGAAGACTGATACCAGTTTTTCTGGCTTGAAGCTGACATTATTATGTTCTCTATCAGTATTGTTGCCATGGTGATGGCAGCGCACATAGACGCAGCGGCCACTTCAGGAGACAACGAAAGTGAACGTTTTAAGTGTCTTGTCTATCCCAGACGTTCATTCTGCAAAACTTGCGGCCGGGAGACTTTGCTGGGCGTCAGGACTGTGGACGGCGCTGGAATTGCGGTGCTCGGTTGTGATGTGGACATACTACACCAACACGGAGTCTAATCGGAGACTACGCCAGCAGATACCCGAGAGAGAAGGAAGCACATGAACATAAACAAAGGAGGGGGAAGAGAACCAGGAGCCATGCTAGACTGAAGGCTAACCCCTCCAGACCAGCAGGACCATCGTTCCTACTCTCCAGTGTCCAATGTCTGCCCCGTCGACAACAAGCCGGACGAGCTACGTTTGCTGAGAGAAACCCGCAGAGAGTAAAAAGACTGCTGTGTGTTTGCTTTAACAGAAACATGGCTCCATGACATCATCCCAGACGGACATACAGATAGAGGGAACGACAATATTCCGAGCGGACAGACAGACAGCTCTGGACAGCATCTGCGGCTTCATCATCGTCACACCATCGTGTGTGAAGACCTACCAGGACCTGAAGAGGTTCTCCATGTTCAATGAATGGCGGCGCACATGGACACAGTGACCCCTTCAGGAGACGGCGACAGCGAACGTTCAGTGTCTTTTCCCAGACGTGCATTCTGCAAAACTTGCTGATTAAATAATCCTGAAGAAACGTTCTTTCATCTTACCTGTACTACTGTGTATGTACAGCCAAATGACAGTAAACCTGATTTGATTTTGATTTCATACAAGATAGTGACTGGAGAGGAAAATAACTTGAGATCACACTACTTGTGACTTTCAGTTTAACAAAGGGAATGCTTGATGCTTAAAATCTTTGTTTCCCCATTTTATTTTTTATATTTTTTACAGAATACATTTAAGTAAAATGTTCTTGATATTCCTTTTGTCTTGTGTCTGAAGCTTCACATGGAACAGTTACTTGATCTAAATTTGAATATTTATTAACCAAAAACATATCAAACTGAGCTATGATGACAGCCAGGACATGAAATGGGGGTCTAGTTTGTTAGCCTGATTAGTAGGGTTAAAGACTTCTACAGTAATAGAAAAAGACAAGACTGAAGGTTGTCATTATGTTATTATGACTTCAACACAACTGACATGTATTTATTTGTCTTTTTCGTACTGAAATGATGCAAATTTTACAAAAATGAATGTGTTAAATAATATGCCAACTTGTATCTGTCATGTATTAATGTTTTATGTTTTAATTTTGTTAACGTAAAATGGAAGTGCTTTTATGTTGAAGGGACATCAGACGGAAAATATGGAATCTGAAAAAGTGTAACGTGGACGCCAACGGGAAAGTAACGGCAATATAGATATGTATAATGAAGGCCTTTATTATACATATCTATGAATGGCAACGTAAAGTTAAGAAACAATACAAAAGATAAAAAGGCAAACAGGAGAGATTAATGAATTTAGCTGCAGTAGAGAGGGCAACAAGATAAAACTTTAATTGTGTCTGATTGTCAATTTATTTTAAATTTGGTGTGGGCTAATTTTAGCAATGTGCCTGCTGAATTCAATGTGTTGATATGATGTATTTTTTGTCTAGCTCTTACGTTGGTCATAGGAGAAAGGGAGGAGAAAATAAAAAGTGTTAGACCATCAGTCCAGGCTTCTCATCATTTCAGCTGAGACGTTACATCTACAGCTTAAAGATTTATGCGTTTCACTCCTGACTACATTAATGTCTGTAGGATGTGTAAACAGATGACTTTAGCAAGTTAAGTATATCAACTTAAAAGGTAACAATATGTCTGTGTTGTGTCTCCAACAGGTTTAAGGACATTTTGAGTGTCAGACAACAAAACCTATAAATGAAGTTACCGTTAAGCTACAAATTCTACTAAATATAGCGACACTACTCCTCAACAAACTGTGAGTGAGACACTATTTATCTTAGAAAGCTTTCCAAAAAGAACCAGTGTGATCAATAAATATGTATTTAATAAAGACACATTGCATCCATCATATCTGGTGGATGATTGCACAGATATCTTTATAGATAAAAGGACAAATTATTCTCATACATCAAAATCTAGCAGCAGCAGCAGCAGGGTCACGGACTGTAACTATGACAATAAACGTAGCCTCCTCTGCCTTGTAACAGTGGAGGCTGACCTTCATTGTAGTGATGCAGGAGGATCTAATCCAGTTAAAGTTCCATTAGCGGATGGGTTTCTCTGATATGGTCCCACGCCCATACCGTCCTGCTTTAAAAGCTCCAGAGATAAACTACTTCAATGCTTTAGCTTGACTTTTAAAAAGAGCCTAGTGTTGTTTCCCAGAAAGCACTCTGACAAATCTTCAGAGGGTTGTGAAGAGCTTGTTTTTGTAATGAAACATTAAAGGATTGGAAGAAAGATTAACACCAAAAAAAAACATTTTTCAAGTACAGTATGTCGCTTCACTCCGGAGACTGTAATCAAGCTGACCTTGCTTGTTGTTTGAACCTTGTATTGCTGAACTATACGGGGCACGTTTCCAC